CCTCAGGGGCATCTTCAGCGATCACGGGGACATTGAACCTTACGCTTGCTGGCGACTTCATGATCCTCATCACCGGCGGCTTTTGGTGGATAATAAAAACCTGGAACCTTGACAAGATCAGAGTAGACAGCCTGACCCATGACTAAGAGAACAAAACCGAAGAGCTGGAGCCAAGACCATGTAGTCCACACTTCACCAAAGTTAGAGCCGGGAGCCACGAAATACTGGATGATCAGATCACATATCCAGATGACAGCAGTTCTAGTAGCTTCTAGCATTGTTCTATGTACTGCAGATAGTGCGTATGTGACCAACATTCCAGCCATGTTGTAGGTGAAAACCGAGACAACGTAAACACCAACCATTATCTGTAGATTCTTATTGTTCTCAATCATGACCATAGTATCCAAAGTATTCTCGGCAGACCCTTCATCCTTACCGGGAATAAAATACAACAATGGGAAAATGAAAATGAACAAGATGAGGGTGCCCCAGACACCTTCCATACCAACAATATGGAACGGAGCGATAGTGAACCCTTTCAATAGCTTCTCCTCAGTGACGATTTGTAGAGATTGAATGACTTGCGAGGCAACAATCATAACCATACCGAATACCATCAGACCAGTACTAACATGTGACGTAGCGGAAGAACCGGACATGACATTGGCGATGCCTACCAAGCAAATGGCGACCACACACATGAAGACTCCGAACCAATGATAGCCGTGTAGTTTCCTACCAAGGAAAAGAACGGAAAAGATAGCGGAAAAAATGATCATAGACCCTCTCAACATCTGCCATACAGATGCCGAATTATACAACAATCCCACAAAGGACATAGTCGTGGCGATCAAATCAAAAGCAGCAGGGGCCAATATCAATAAACCAGCTCTCCAAAAGCTAGGAACATCCTTCCCACCAGAGTTCTGCCGCTGTTGATGTGGCTGCTCCAACAAGGCTTCATAAGCTTCACCACGGTGACCTCTAGCTCTCATACGATCAATCAAGACGTCAATAAAGTGGATTACTAGAACGATAACCATACCCATGAACATGGTTAATGTTCCGAACCAGGGCTTCATAAAGTGCTTCACATCTCCATTGATACCGACCGAAGTCATTTCGAACTGCAGCTTAGTACACATAGTGTTGAGGGAGCCGAATATCAGAAGGCCCAGGATGTACAGAGTAGTCTTCCCACAAAAAGCCATAGTTACCTCAGAAGTAAAGAAGATATCCCACGAGGAAAGTGGTAAAAAAACTGATCATCATATGCGAACT